CCTCGAGGGGAATCCACTTGGCCAGAGCACAGGCCAAACTCCACCTGGGTGAGGCATTATCGTGAAGTGCAATTGGGACTGAATTCACACAACAAAACCACTTATCAAATGATCGATCAATAAGCTCTGAATTAAGAGCCAAACGTGGCAGCACATCCGTTGTGACGGCTCCATGTTAGTGTCACCCCACCTTTACCGTTCACCTGAAGACTGGATGCAGAGTTTAAGTCAGTGTCTCAACCTAATTCAAAAAAGAAGCATCCACCAAATTGAGCACAGTTCTGGAGTTTTGATGGCACACGAATTAAAAGACATTAAAAAGACATCGGCACAACGGTTGGTGACACCAAAATTGATTCCAGACCAGCCACTGATAAGGATTTGCCGGTGTGTGTTCGCACCTTTTCCAACCACTCTGGGGACACCTTGGCGATGTAGAAGCTCCCAGTAAGCCTCAATGACCGCATTATATGAAGGATTAAATTGGTCGACAGTTCACGTTTAGCTAGATCGATCGACTTCTAGCTTAGATCATGGCACTGTTGAGATGGGCACACCACCTTGAATCCTATCATTTGGATTCTGGGTCCATGACCTAGGAGCGAGCACTCGCCAAAAAAAAACAGGTAGGCATCATTCGAATGATCCTGCATAATAAGCTAGGACCAAGGCATGGCGGATTTCAGTCTCTCTTTGTCAGGAAGTTCGTAGGTCGACCCTTCAGCCACTGACAGCTCCTGCAGGATCCTGATGTTGCCGCTTCGAGTCTCCTGGTGGACAGTGATGAGGCCAGGGCCACGTGATGTCAGAAGGAATGGGATGGAACGTGTGGCTGTGGGTTCGTGATGGTTAGTCAAGTCGATCAGTGGGGAGAGCTGTCACGTTTCAGAACTGCGGGCGGGTCCTCTTTGTAATATTTCCTTTTTTGCGGAGCGTCCTGCAGTGCAAAGTTTGTGACACACATTGATCAAGTCGAAGATGCCCCATGGAACAAATGCCACAGAAAGAACGGAAAAGTTGAGATGAACCTCACTTCGACGGTGTTGCTCAGTTCATTTTAGATGATGAGCTTTAAGACTTTAAGAATTATAAATATATATCGATCGAAATGTTGGCCGGCACATATGACGGACATCTTCTCCTCATGTTCTGCCCCTGGACGTTTCTTTTGCATCCTCTCTTCCACTTCAGGTACTTTCTCGGGCAAATCACCTTTCTTGCCTTCCACTTTCCTCTCTTCAGGTACTTTCTCGGGCAAATCACCTTTTGCATTCTTGCCTTCCACTTTTGTCTCTTCTGCTGGTTTGATGGATGCTGGTTGCTTTTCCTTGGCAGCCATGTCCTTCCTGTCTTCAACCTGTTCCAAGCTGGCCGCACCCTTTCCTTGACCTTGCTCCACGTCGGCCTTCGCGAGCGCTTTTGCTCGACCATTTCTGCCACCCCTGCCTCTCCCTCTCCCTTTCCCTTTGCCCCTGCCCCGGGCCTGTCTAGCAGGCTGATTTTCATCACTCTCTTCCTGGTCCCTTTCACGCTTCATTTTCTTGTCCTCCTCCTCCAAAGCCGCCTCCATCGAGTACTCTGCCTCGCGCTCATCTTGTTTTTTTCTTTCGACTTACGTGCCCTCTTCTTTGAATTTGGAACTTGCTGCTCCATCATCTTTTGTTTCAATTCACTCCTCAACCTCCGTTGATCCTCCAAAATCTTGGCCACAGAACTTTCGTTTGGCTCTTCTGGAAGCTCCAAAAGGTCGATGAGCTCTGGCACCAAAGGCTTTCTGTCCTGGAATGGACAGAGAATTAAAGTTCCTTTCACGTACTTTACAGGTTCGACTCTAAATACCGCTGCTACACTACTACTACTACTACTACGACGATGACGACGATGACCACTGACTACGCTCGAATGGGAGCTCCTCCGGTGGCCCGCAGTGTGGATAAGCTCCACCAACTCCCACTTGACTTTGTTGCGGTGTTGCAATCTGGATGAGGATGATGAGGATGAGGTGAGGATTAGGATGAGCGCCGGCAGCGTGGTAGCTCTAGTGTAGCTTGAGGATTGGCATGGTGATAGTAGATCGAGCTTGAGCTTAACTAATAGCGACAGTGTGGTAGCTCTAGTGTAGCATGCGGATTGCCAGCGATACCCCTCTAGAACTATGGTGTAGATCCAGATGCTGGTAGCACGCATGATTTTATAAATCCAGTCCTTGAAGGTTCCTCTCCGATCCTAATCCCCTGGCTTCTCTGGATCACTCTCCACGTCAATCTCCTCGGTTTCTTTCTCCTTTGTCTCCAAAGTGATAGGGGATGACAGCACTTCCTTCAGGCGAGAATGGAACGATGCCCGGACTTCTGGGGTGCAGGTGTTTTTTTCCAACTGCGTAATCAATGCTTTCAGGTACCAAGCCAAGTCCATGGCCAGACTCATGCAAAGATCTTCAGATTTGGTCTTGACAGCTGCAGCCACAAAATCATCCAAAACTGTGTGGAGCAATTCACGAGGAGGTTTCTCTTCCTCTGTATTCTTCGCTTCCTGAGCTCTCTTCTCTTCCTCTGCCTTCTTCGCTTC